CTTTATTTTTTCTTCCTCTTTTCTTTCTTCTTTCTGTCTTTCTTTCTTACTGTCTGTCTTTATTTTTTCTTCTTCTTTTCTTTCTTCTTTCTGTCTTTCTTTCTTTCTTTCTTTCTGTCTGTCTTTCTTTTCTCTTCTTCTTTTCTTTCTTCTTTCTTTCTTTCTTTCTTTCTTTCTGTCTGTCTTTCTTTTCTCTTCTTCTTTTCTTTCTTCTTTCTGTCTTTCTTTCTTTCTTTCTGTCTGTCTTTCTTTTCTCTTCTTCTTTTCTTTCTTCTTTCTTTCTGTCTGTCTTTCTTTCTTTCAGGTTCATATATTCAGTTGTTTCCTCTGTGTGACAGGAAGTTTAGACCTGACCAGATTCACTAGAGATGTTGTCAACCTTTCTCCGGAACCTGAAGGAACCAAAAAACAACATGTGAGCACCAGCAGCCCAGCGAACGTCTCAAAGTCTTCATCAGGTGGACTCATGTGCCGTTAGCACAGAACATATATTTACATAACATCAGTAAAGTTACTTTAAGCTCATTATTATTTTTCTGCTTCTGTCCCTTTAGCTCCCACAGAGAAAACAACTGAACCACAACCAGAGCCCACATCCACTGCAGGTAACAGTCTGAGCCTCTCCCTCACTTCTTTGAACACCAGCTGGTGGAGCCATTGAGTTTGACTGGTAGATATCAGACTGAGAACACTCCAGTCAACTACAACATCCCCTCACACCAGTATAGCCAAGCCTCCCATCAAGCATGCAGCGAGGTTTAAAACTCATTAAGAGCTAATTAGAAAATGTTAAACTCCCTGTCCTTGTTGAGATACATGGAGGAGTGTTTCTGCCGTGTTTTGCAGCACCAGAGGAAACAGAGAGAAGGAGAAAGAGAGAGACACTGATGTGCTTTAAAAAAGTCTCAGCCTGAATCTTCTTCCTCACACTGAAATATTCAGAGATTCAATTAAAAATGGAGTTAAACATAGGAACGTACCTGCAGTTTAACAGGAAGTCATTATGCGTGGACTAGAAAGATAAGAAGTCAATATGTCCCAGAAAAAATATGTTCCAATATATGAAATTATGCTTTTGTATTATTAAAAGTGTTCATTATGAATATTAGATTTATGAAATATTGGATGAATGGAGTAAAGGAGCAGAAGACACTAATGTTTTCAATGTCTGTTTTATTCAGCATCCACAGCGACATCTTTCCGATCCGTAACCGAGAAAACCACCCATCAAGCTGATGACTGGAGTAAGTAAAAATTTCCCTGCTCCATATAGTTACCTTAAATGCCACAGGCGACGCAGTTTTATTGTTACCTCGGGGCCGACTGACAGTGTCACTATTCCCCCTCTTCCAAACAAAGAGCAGAGTGGTAGAACAGAGCACCTCACTTCCTCTCTTGCCAGCACATTAATGCTTGATTGTACTCTATGCAGGGAGAGATGAGACGTTTGTGTCCTCACACGGTGCCGGCTTATACTGTAGATATGATTTGATACACCAGCAGCAGCATGTCACAGGGGCCAGTAGATCTGCCACGCCATCTCTGAATGTTGTTCCCTGCTGATCCTTGCTCTCATTTTATTTCCTTCAGAGGCTCCCTGTGTTCAACAAGCAAACCTAATTTTGTGCTTTTCTTTCTACTTTTGCTTCCTATAGATACAAAGTGGGACGATGGTTTCAGCTATGGTAAGAAGATTGAATTGACTGTGTTGTTACTTCTGCCAGAGAGGTTATGTTTTCATCTATTTGTTTATTAGAAAGCAGGATTACTACTTTGCTAAAGCACTTGGGCCTCGTTTGTTTGTTAGTTCTCATGATGACACAAAAACTTCATTAATGATTACCCTGACACTTGATTGGAGAATTGCGGAATGGGTCAAGAAATGAATCATTTCATTTTAGGAGATTTCTTTCAACGTTGATTTCTCAGAGAATAATTCGTGGATCTTGATTGAAATTTTCTTTTGTTAGTTTGCAGGATTTAATGAAGGTTTATGTAGGGGTGGGACTTGAGTGAAGGACATGAATAGTTATTATTATGTTTTTACATTCACTTTCTTTAACATTGCTGAGATACGTCATTCATCATGAAATCATTTATGTATCTTGATGAAAAAAATCAGATATTTTTTTTAGGGGACTCATAGTTACGAAAGTGTGCAATTTAGTGCAGCTCCAAACAAAAAGTCAGATCTAGTGGTTGTGCCGTTCTACTTTCTGTTATTGGTCGTTGCGTCTAGTTGAGTGTTTGATTTGTGTTTCACATGCTCCAGATTATGAATCCCTGCGCCACGCTGGCCTGGCCATCGCAGCAGTGCTCTTCATCATGGGCATAATGGTCATTAGCTGTAAGTATAACACTGAGAACCACCTCTGTGTTTTGTAATCCCTTGTAATCAAGTGTAATTGTATCCAACCGCCCTTCTCACTCCTTTTCTTCTCTCTAACTGCAGGTGGCAAGGTCTGTCGGTCGCCCAAGTGTTGCAAGAGGTCTTCAAGGTGAATATGCACAGTCTTAATCCTGAATGATGTTAAATGCTGAAAAACAAAAAGTGGATAATATACAGTCCATTGTGCACGGTGCTTATATCATGCTGCAGTTGAGCGAGTGAAGTAATTTACATCACAGGCTACTGGATGATATATGGCAAACAATCAGTCACATCGGACACAGACCATAGTTGCTCAACAGAATGCTGACTAAAACCTCTGTGATGATTAATAGATCAGAAATATTATGAGCTATTTGTTGGGCAAAAACCGTAACGGAGCAGCTGCAACAACTGCACACCACCTCGCTTGTTTTCATAACTGAGGCGCAGTGTTTGATTTGTGTATTTGCTTTCCAGGTCATATCGAGTGGACCGAAGATGAAGAGAGAAAGAGAGAGAGAGAGAGAGAGAAAGAGAGAAAGCGCGTGTGACCCAGAAACCAGTCAGTCAGGAGTCCATCAGCAGAAAAACACTCAACCAATACCTAGCGATGTGTGCGTGCATGTGGGCCGAGTGTGTAGCAGTGTCACACATGAATCATGCAAACACGAGAAAAGGTGGAATCATCGCCCGGCTTCATTTGTGTCACTTATTTCTCTACTCTCCTCTAAAAAAAAAAGTAAAGTGATTATTTATTCTGACAAATAATGAAGAGAGGAATCATAATTCTAATCACACCTTCAGCCATGGAGCGGCCTTGTGTCTAATGACCTTTGCATCTTATAGCTGATAACACAGCCATCAGCGCCGGAGTCACACAGCCAGGATTGTTATTAAAGGTTATGAAGAATAACCCTGTGGCGTTCCCTTATTTGTCATTCTTGCACAACACTTATACGCTCTGTTCAGGATCTAACAGTAAAGTGAAGCTGGGTCACTTCTCTCTGCTTACCCTACAATTTCAATCAGAACAAAAAAAAGCCTGATGTTTGGTAAGCGGTGTCAAATCCTCTTAGTGGCTCTGTGCTTGTAAGTGAATTAAGCCGTAGATTAAACAATATCCACAGGCGCATTATCTTTGCATCCATATGGCATCAAAACAGTGGAGACAACAAACCGAGAGAAACCAAACACATTTAATAACAGGTTTAATGGTAAAAATAAACACAATGCGAGTCAGAATAGCTACATAATAATATAGTAATCAGTGTTTTTAATTGCTAACTGAACAAAACCGAGGATATAATTCATCTGTGCAAATGGAATTAATTAATTCATATACAATCTCCTGCTGCAATAGTTTTCTGGTGTGATATAGGGTCATTTGTTACATACTGTCAATTATTCTATAAGGGAAAAACTACTGTAAATGTCCTTGGCACAAATAATACATGTGGGTTCATCTGCACCATATAGTGGATATAAACATGTATTTTACATTAAGACCAATTTTTCTTTTTAGAGGCAAATAACTGATTCCCACCCACAATGTTTATACACACAGCTTGTTAACGAACAGTGAAGACGATGCCCCTTAAACTCAACTTTTAAAAAACAAAACACTTATTTCGCTGAATATATTTTCCATCAGAACACAGATGCATGGATCAGTAAATCTGATAATTCAATATATTAGATTAAAAGATAGAATCACTGCATATGATCATATTGACAGAATCAGATATTAAAAATAAAAACATGACCTTTTCCACATACATCATGCTGAGATAGAAACAAAGCTCAATAGTTACATATGATACAATAGATTTACATGAGTAGTGTCACAGCAGAGAGGTGCAGAGAAGATATTGGACAAAATACTGTAAAAAAAAAATATATGTAAGTAAAAGTATTTGTGCTTCCTACATTTAGATGACAGCATTCACATACAACACACTGCTGCATTCAAATGTTGCACTGTGTTGTTTTGATCTGACAGAAATATGAGTAAATTCAAAGCAAAAAATACATAAATCTGATTATATAGACCATATAAACATAAAAAACTGAAATGTTTTGTCTTGTCCAATTGTCCTGCCTTTGAAATGCTGGCACCGATCTTAAGGCTTATTGGGCGACGCTACAATTTTAAGTAAGTAACACAATGTAACACAACAAGGGGCCTCGAAAAAACAGTAAAACAAAAGCATCACCAGGATCTGCCGGTCTGCTCGTCTATGTTCAAATAAACTGGGATGGTTCAGACCTACAGTTGCTGCAAACCCTGATGAAGACGTAACTTAATTGTTTTTGGCCTCACGTCTGTCTGGAGTGGAGCCAGCGTTGGCCTGCCCAGTGTTGCTGACTCCTCATGAAGCCACAAATGAAAAACTGACGTGTCGAACAGGGGTGTGTCACCTCCTCCACTTTAAACAGAGAGTGCTCCCCTCTCTGCATCAGAGCAAACCAGCGCTTTGGGTTTTAGAGAGAGAGAGAGAGAGAAAGAGTGCTTTCCTTCACGGAGCCATGATTGATTTTCATTTCAATGAAACCAGAGAAGCCATCATGCTCTGAGTGATTGAAACAAAGGCATTGTTGGTATTTACCCAATCACCCCCAACACTTTTATTTGATCTGCAAGATTTGATCCCTCCCTCACACCCAGCTTCTCTCTACCAGTGTGTGAGGCATCAATCTAACCCTCTACAACATTCAGAGCCATTATAATCTGCAAGAAAGAAGTGAAAGACTTTCAAAACCAAAAGGAATAACGGAAAAGAAAACAATTCATTCACAGCGGCTGATTAATATGCTGCCTTGCAATAAGGCTATTTCCCTCAGTGGCTGAGAAAACGGGGAACAGGTTTTTAGCTTCCGACTGCACTGCCTCTTTTTATTCCTAATGGGTCGGGAACAGAGGATGTCAGACAGGTGAATAGGAGAGTTGGGCTGTATTAGGGTGGATTAGCATGGTTTGTCTCTCTCAACCACCATTTTTCAGGTCTGTTCCACATGTACCAAATCAAATGCAAATATAGTTTCACTGCAGAGATGGTGGGAATCATGTCTTGTATCAGGTAGTAAAAAAAGAGTGGGAGCTCTGGCTGTGCAAAATCATCTGTTTTAACAAAAGAGGTTTTAAGCCATTTCCACTGGCTCTGATTTGGATTCCTCAAATAGAATCCAATTAGAAGGTTTGAATGTGTTCCAAATGTCCTGGGCTTAACCGTGTGTATGTGGAGTACAAAATGGCGGGAACACATGCAGACAAAAGTATACAACAGTAAAGAAAACATAAAACATTGCATATGCATTGATAGGAGGTTGTGTAGGAGTGAGCCATGAACTGAAAGGTGAGTAGCAGGCTGTTGTGCAAAGAAGTCTGACTGTCCTGAGTCAGAGAGCAGGAGATGACGTAGCCCAGTGCATCGCTCCTCTCTTTCCCGGTTATTATAGAACTGCAGCTCCGCCAGGAACTAGACGGCCCCTTTGTGGTCCTGCTCTGTGGGCACGGAGTAGACCCTGAAGGGGCAGAAACAGAAGCATGCCATCATTTAGAGATATACAAGGAGCCGCCCCCCCTCACCCCCTGTGTCAGCATTAAGGAAAAACATGTCTGCCTTGTGCTGCAGGGCTCCTATCGGGTGCACAGTGACTGCATCACCTCAAAATACACCTCATCCCCAGGTGGGACTTATAAACCTGGAAAGGCACTGTTGATCCAACAAGCCAGAGGTTGCTGTGTGATTAAGCCTCTTTTCAGTGGAGCGATCAGTCAGCACCAAACACTGCCAGAGCTGACTGCAGCCCTGGGAGGCAGCCAGTAATCCTGTGGAGGAATTTAACCCTTGCAGATTGATTTGGGTGTCTGCTCCACAACCGCGATTCCCCCCCACTGTGTGAGCATCTCCTCGGACTAACTTGAACTGCATGTGTAACCTCTCTGACCCAACCTGCAGGTCACGTACGACTGCAAGCCAGAACAAAACGTCCTGATTATTTTGCAGAGTCCTAGGCTAACTGTGGTTAAACGAGAGCAGCGTCGGAGAGAGCGTCTCGCTGTATAACTGGTTTAGGCTGTTCTGCTGTCTGATCGCTCTTTGCAGATTGTTGTCATGACGCCAAGATCATGTTTATAAGGTTGTTTGATTCCTGAGTGGAGTCATCACCTCGGGCTTCGCTGAGGTTCATGAGGTAAACGTTGGTGCAGGTTAGGTCCTGTCCCATTCGGTCATACAGAGCCGGTGGCCCTGTCTCATGGCTATTGTTTGATGTCTAAGATGGAAAGGGCGGGAGGTGGGGAATGTTCAGTGGTGGTGGTGTAAGGCCTCGGGCGGTGATACTAATTGCTGTACAAGTCTGGACGGGCTCAGATGGGTGGATGCTGCTTGGATTTTCAAGTGGTTTTGTTTTGGATTTTGATGTTGACAAGTAGGATGAAGTAGGGCGAATGTGCAAGGCAGCAGAAAGGCTGTTACCCATCAGACTGGTTCTGTCACCTGCAGGCAGACTTAGCGTCTAATGGAACACGCATGTCTTACAGATAACATATGAGCATTAGCTGTACAGAGAAAGCAGAAAATGGTGGCAGAAATGAAATAAATATAATGACCAAAAGAGAACGACAAACAGAAGAAAATGTATAATCAAATATCAACTTTGTAAGTGATGACGTTTGACCTTACCCTTGCTGTCGACTGTGCATGTGGCGTCTTACCAATATTACAGCTACAAGGGGGGGAAAAATGGAAAAAGGTCACGGATACGCAAGAGAAAAGTTCCTATTTGTTTAGGTATTAGCAGGTTTACAGGCACACAGGGTGATTCAGGCCAAACAATGAAGGTCTCTACTGCAGCACATTTGTCAACTGTGTGAATGAAACAACCATTATTTCACATTTCACAGACAAAACACAGAGTACTTACTGACTATTGTTGCAACTGAGAGAGTCAACACAGTCACAGCTACAATGATGATAATCAGGGTGAGCTGATCTACAGGATGAAACACACATGGTGTATTGAACAAGGGGCATTAGGTAATCCTTCATATTTATTGATCTGTATTGTTAATACTTTTGCTGAATATTGGCATTTATAATAAAATATATGTCTAACCTGATTTGTCTTCGCCACCTGTATTTTTATTTACGAATGAAGAACCAGGGGAGTTTTGGTTGGGAGCACCTGTGTACCCTGCAAAGAGAGAACACAGAGAAGTTATGCCAATTTCAGTATACTTGTATACTATGTATACTTCAATTTTCACATTATATTTCAATCACGTATAATGTAGTACTTCTACTACAACAGTACCAGCTACGTTTGAGGTGTGGAGTCATTCTCGCTCTACAGCTTGGCAAACATGATGATCCGCTTTCTTGATGAGAGTGAGATAAGAGGATTGATACTAGTGTCTGTAAAATAAACATGAAGCTACCAGCAGCCAGCAGCCAGCAGCCCAGCAGCCCACCAACCAACATCTAATTAATTGTTTTCTTTTTATTTGAAAA